ATTTTCCCCCTTTTTTTTTTTTTCAACGGTGCTGATGGTCCATGGATCAGATATGAAACTGATCCAAACAGATACTACTCTTCATTATGCCGGGGGAGGGGTCGGGGGCGGCATAGTTAGTTAGATTCGTCTCTCTCTCTCTCTCTCTCTCTCTCTCTCTCTCTCTCTCTCTCTCTCTCTCTCTCTCTCTCTGTGTGTGTGTGTGAGTGTGTGCCCGCTGCCCTTTTTGTCGCTCGAACTCACTCGCTCACACTTCGATGTCTTTTAGTTAGCGTCCGCCATCTACTCTTCATTATGCTGGGGGAGGGGGTCGGGGGCGGCATAGTTAGTTAGATTCGTGTCTCTCTCTCTCTCTCTCGCTCGCTCGCTCTCTTTCTCGTGCGCTTGCAATTTTCCCCCTTTTTTTTTTTTCCAACGGTGCTGATGGTCCATGGATCAGATATGAAACTGATCCAAACAGATACTACTCTTCATTATGCTGGGGGAGGGGGTCGGGGGCGGCATAGTTAGTTTGATTCGTCTCTCTCTCTCTCTCTCTCTCTCTCTCTCTCTCTCTCTCTCTCTCTCTCTCTCTCTCTGTGTGTGTGGACTGTGTGTGAGTGTGTGCCCGCTGGGCTTTTTGTCGCTCGAACTCACTCGCGCACACTTCGATGTCTTTTAGTTAGCGCCCGCCATCTACATTTTCTCGCTTACGCACATTGGTGTGGATGCCAGCATGCGGTTTTTCCGGTTTTTTTTTAAAGGGGTTCCGGTGGACCACGGATCAGATATGAAACTGATCGGAACCAATCCTACACTTGATTGTGTTGAGGGGGAGGGGCGTAGATAGTTAGATTGGGGTCTCTCTCAACTGCGCGGTAGCGTTCGCCGGTGCGATCATCTTTTTTTCTTTTTTTTTTCGAATTCGCTGGCTCACGCTTGCGTGTCTTTTAGTTAGCGCCCGCCATCGACTCTTTCTGTCTCCCATCCACATTGTCTCTCTCTCTCTCTCTCCTCTCTCTCTCTTCCCCAAGTGCACGCGCGCTCATATATATTTTTTTAAAAGAAAAAAAGTCTCTCTGGACCACGTGTCAGATATGAAACTGATCGGAGTAGAAACTACACTTGATCGGGCTTTGGGGGGGGGGGGGCGCGTGGTCAGTCAGATTGTCTCTCTCTCTCTCTCTCTCTCTCTCTCTCTCTCTCTCTCTCTGTCTCTGTCTCCCTAGTCTCTCTCACTCTCGCTAGCTCTCACGCGCGTAGGTTTTTTTTTTTTTTTTTTGGAAGGGTCTCGATAGTCCACTGGTCATATATGAAACTGATCGGAGCAGATACTACATTTGATTGTGTGTGGGGAGGGGCTGCGTAATTAGTTAGATTGGGTTCCCTCGCTCTCTCGTTCGGGGGGGGGCGTGGTCAGTCAGATTGGCTCTCTCTCTCTCTCTGTGTGTGTGTGTGTGTGTGTGTGTGTCTCTAGTCTCTCTCACTCTCGCTAGCTCTCACGCGTGCAATTTTTTTTTTTTTTTTTGGAAGGGTCTCGATAGTCCACGGATCATATATGAAACTGATCGGAGCAGATACTACATTTGATCGTGTGTGGGGAGGGGCTGCATAATTAGTTAGATTGGTGTCTCTCCCTCTCTCTCTCGTTCGCTCTCTCATGCGCGGGAGCGCGTTAGCGTAGTTTTTTTTTTTTTTTAAGGGTCTCGATGACCACGGATTGCATATGGAACTGATTGGAGGAGATATTACACTTGATTGTGTGCCGTAAGGGGTCCGCATAGTTAGTTAGATTGCTCTCTCTCTCTCTCTCTCTCTCTCTCTCTCTCTCTCTCTCTCTCTCTCTCTCTCTCTTGCTCTCTCTCGCACATGCAGTTTTTGTTTTATTTTTCCTACAAGGGTCCCGGTGGACCACGGATCATATATGAAACTGATCGGAGCAGATGCTGCATTTGATCCTGTGCGGGGGAGGTGGCGCGTCTCTCTCTCTCTCTCTCTCTCTCTCTCTCTCTCTCTCTCTCTCTCTTGCGGTATCTCTTTTATTTTCTATTTTTCAAGGGTCCCGATGCCCACGGATCACATATGGATGACATATGGATGCTCTCTCTCTCTCTCTGTGCAGGCGGAGCGGAACACGCGCAGAATGAGGGGAGAGAAGGCGCAGGGGGGAGAAGGGCAGGGGAGGACGTGGAAGGGAGCAGAG